TCGAAAGTTTCCACCAGATCACTGAACTTTAAAAACTGCATGGTTAGTCACTGAACTTTTGAAACTGCAACCTCATCCATCACTAAACTTTAAAAATCACCACATTAGTCACTGAACATTGCAAAAGATTTCTACGGAGTCACTGAACTTTGCAAAAAGTTTTTTCCAGATGATCACTGATTCAGTGACCATTTGGAAAATTTTTTGCAAAGTTCAGTGATAAATGAGGTTGCAGTTTCAAAGTTCAGTGACTACCACGTAGTTTTTAAACTTTAGTGACCTGGTGGAAACTTTCGGTAAAGTTCAGTGACTATTGAAATAATTAACCCTTCGATGTTGGACAAGTATAGAATTGCTACATGACGAACAATGTCACCATTTTCATTCAAAAAAATCCAAGAACTTGGGAAAGCAAGTCAATATCGAATTGTTAGTAATGAATTAGAAATGCAACATTTTAAGGAAAAAAAAGAAGCCCAAAGCACAAGGTATATTGGGATGGTAAGGTGACTGCATGTAATTTGAATTTTTGGGTATACTTTGTAACCACATTAAATGGTATAGAAAGGGTTGGTGTATCTAACAATGGCAACATCTCATTTCGAATAGAAATAACTATTATAAATGTTTATGAGTTAGTAGTTGGAGATGATAGTGTCCATTGTCCTCCTACTTCAAGACAATGGAGCGTCCCAAGCAAAAGCAGAATAAAGGAGGAAATATTTGGGAAAAACGAGCATTACTTGTTCACTCTGTAAACATAGTGGCCATAACATCAGAACAATGTGTATTCATCAAGCTATCCTATATGAAAGAAGAAGAAGATTGGCTTAAATTATATGTAACTAAGGGTGCGTTTGATTGTAAGGGTGGAAAATGGATGGAAAGAAAATATTTTATAGGGCAAAGATATTTTTAGAAAATGTTTTACTGTGAATTGTAATTANTAAACAAAAAAAAAAAAAAAATCAGCCAACTGGGAAAATATTTTCCCACCAAAAAGGGCGGAAAACATTTTCATCAAAAACCCGGAAATTGCACACGTGTGGGGAAAATCCGAAAAATATTTTTCTTGGAAAATTTCACCTATCAAACAGCAAAAAAAGTGAAAAGTGGAAAATTTTCTACTTCCCCGAAAAATTTGGCCTATCAAACACGGCCTAAATTTTTTCATATTTGTTTGGTGGAAGTGAAATGGAAGTCACTTCGAAAGTGAAATGGAAGCCACTTACCATTAGCACTTAATTTATACTACCAATTAAATTGTTGGTAGGCGTAAAAGAGAGAGAATATAATTAGTAATAAATTCATGCACCTTAATTTATGTTTCAGTCAGAGGAGAGAGAAAAGTGACAATTAATTATGCAGTTAAGATCCGTTTGATTGTAAATGTGGAAAGAAAATATTTTAAAGGGAATTGAATTGATTAGAATTTATTTTACTGTGAATTGTAATTAATTGTATTTGATTGGTATAATATTCTACCTGAAAAATGTTGAAAGTTTGGTGTCTGTTTGACTTCCTTTTTTTTTTATAAAAAATGTCCATTAAAGTGATAATTGTAGAATTTGTTCAAATTACAACAAAGTAAATTTTTTTTAAATTATAAAAAATTACCATAACGAATAACATACGTTTGACTTTGTTTTGCATAGAATTTATCAACAAAAGTAAAAATTCTTTTTACAATGGATGATAGAATTTGTTGACATTGCTAAAAAAAAAAAAGGAAAACAAAATCAAGCAAATATGTATCAAAGAGTTATACCTAGAAAAAGGTGGAAAAAACAAAAGCGGCAAATTTGTGTTATTAAACATCCTTAATTGACTAAAGTTGGAAAACATTTTCTTTTTGCACCCATTTTCTAGGCTATCAAAAAGGGCATAACAGCAAAAGCAAATCGAATTTCCAGCCCCACAAAACTTATTTTTCTTTTTCCACCCATTTTCTATGATATCAAACAGGGTCTTTTAGAGGAAGGATAAGAGGAATAAATTATGTACCCATAGGGGAGTAAATTATGTACACATAAGCACCCCTATGAGTACAATTATGTACCCATAGCAGAGCTCGTGCCTAACACCTCCCTTACAATTAAGCCCCTGTTTGATAATTATTTTTTAAAAAAAAAATCTATTTACTCATTTTTAAAGACATATTCACATAACAAAATATTTTAAACGTAAATTCAAAAATTTTCTCTATTTTTTAATCACATATTCTTTTAAAAATCACTATTCAAAACATTTTTTTTTAAGAATAATAACCATAAAGTAAGGGCAGCTTCTTAATCAATTAAACATCCCATCATATGCAAGTTGTTATTTGTTAATTTGAAGTCAATGGAGTGACATATAAGACTATTCTTTTAAGATCTCGAAAATTGTGGACAATTTTTTAACCTTTTAAATAATAAATGTATCTATTCGAGAAAATAGCAACAGAGGTTCTTTTCACGATGTAACATGTTGGTCCCCAACACTTATTTTTTACTTGTCAATATTGCAGCCAAGTGTTTCAAACTATGACTTTTCTTCCTACCCTAATTTAACAATATTCATTTCCCTACGAAATTATTGTTAAGCGTATTTATGGAGAATTTAAAACTTATGGGGGTTTGAGCTTTCCACGTCTCAACCAAACGTGCCATCTGCCTTAGGTAATGTCATCATTGACTTTCACTGCCTCTATCTCACCGCTCAGAATCTCAACTACGGCTAAATCGAAGTCCTACCCAAAAGCCCACCAACCACTTCCTCACTACCACTACACCCTGGCAACCAAAGTAGCAAGGTCCAACAATTATACTTTCAAACCTAAGAAAATCACTTCACAAATCCCCAGCCTATTGTTGAATCTATCTTGACATTCAAATCTATCCACTAGTAAGATGCAATACTAGAGATGAACTCAGTGCACTCGTTTTGAAATAACAGTAGAATTTAGTACCTCTGAGCCTACTCAACAGGTGGTTAGTTGCAAATGGAATTTTCACTCGCATTACACATCCTATGTTGATGGCTTTAATTATCTCTAGGATAAAAGCCGTCTTTTATAGATAAAGGTTCATTAGAAACACTAGTTTAAGTAATGTTGCTACTTTCTTAGTATCTCTTTCCAATGAGTACATAGATGATATTGCCAAAAAAATGTTGTTTTGGAGTCAACAAATCACCTCTCCATTGTCATAAACCCGACCACAGAATAAACTCACTCGAATTCATCCTTAGTCCCACTGCAGCACCAATAAAAATGGATAATTCATCATAGCTTATTCCTAGAATTGAGTTAAGCTCTTCAACTGAGTGAGTTGTGAAAGAGGTCCGGGATTTAATGGGATTTAATACACTGCTGACACTCTTGCAAGGGTGACATCAGAGATTCATTTCCAAGGGATGAGAACGGTGTTAGGGGTATTGGGGTGCATAATGAAAGGAGATGATAAAATTGTCATGTAGTGTGTGTTCCCAGTAATCTAAATAGTGCTCAAGACTTGAACTCAAAACAGATGTCAATTTGAACAAATTCTTGATGCACGAGTAAATGAGAGAAAAAAACCAGGCAAAAAATTGAACTAATTTTTTATATTTTGCTCCAAGATTTCGATTCATAGTGGAAAACTAATTTCCAATAGCTGATAAAATGCTAATCCTCCTCTCTTTTGCAATTCTGCTCTTCAGTCACTGCACAGGAGAGAGTTGTCCAACTAACAATATGGGGCAGAAAGGTGGAATATATTGGCTACAACACCAACATTCATGGTCATAACCGTCTGATTCTGCCCCCAAAACAGTGTAAATGAGCTTTTTATTGCAAGGCGATAAAGCAAGCAGCTCTACTCAAATGACCAATTGTGGTAAATTCCCGAGTTCTCTGCTAACTTGGGAGGATTTTACAAAGATACAAAAGGCAAAATAAGAATCTCTATGTAAATTGAATCTGTCCAGTTGTCATTTAAAAAAAACACGAAGGCAAGTCTACGAGGTCACACAATTTAAATCACATGATCACATGGCACTCTTACTACAATAGAAAAGGCTTCATGATACCCAGTTACAACATACTGATAATCGATAAACTAAAATATTTTGTGACGTACCTAAGAACAAAGAAACATCAAGGTTAATTATCTCCAAGCAAGAAGGCCTAGTTGTAAGATATGTAATCAAAAGATCTGTTAATACTAATATGATACAGAATGGGCTGGAATTAGAAAGACCGTATTCAAATTTGAATTGATCTTTTGCCAGTTCTTATTTTACAATCCTGACAAATAAGGCATCATTTAAAAATAGAAAGCAAATTCCTAAGCATAGCAACCACTTAAAATTAAAAAGATGGAAAATTGTAAAAATACAATCTTTTCCCTTCAAAATAGACCTCCATCATACATGTTAATTATCGGATAAAGCTAACCCATAATAATCCAAGCCAACAATATGATTGGACTAGGAAATGCAGATAAATCAAGTCTCGAGGATGTTATGAACCCTTTTTCAATTTTTGTGAGGGTTTTTAGAGTAGAACAACAAATGATTCTATACCTTGCAACCACAACTCATTCTTATCACTCCTTTTCATATAAAAGGAAAATGATAAGGTAACGTATTAATCAAAAGAGTTTATCATTTAATCAAAAGACTCCATCATTCTCACAAATTGCATTTAACAATCGCAAATTGCTGGCTATAGCATAAGACACTATTTCAAATTTCATGATAAAACCGCCGAACAAAACACCAAATAATAGGACAGTGCACAACGCAACATAAATTATAAATCAATATTATCTTATCAATGCACACCAAGAAATTAGTTATAAAAGCAGGCAATAACACCATTAAAACCATAGTAGGGATCATCATATCACAATTAACAGCAGTATGTAGTATCACAATAACATGAATATTTAAATACATAGGTAGACAGACTCTCTTAATAATAGACTACTTTTTCTTCCTTTGGGGTTCTTAAAACGCTTACATATTTCATCAAATTGTTAGACTGCTTCCTTGACAGGGGATGCAGGTTTCTTGAGGTCATCATCAACCACCTTGGGCTTCGTAGGAATAGCCAGGTACCCCATCTTCTTGGAGGAGGTGATGTCATCGTCATCATCAGAAGAAAAGGAGGAATCATCATCAAAGTCAAAGCGATGGGGAGAGAACGGAGACCACACGAAATACATTGCAGCGGCCGTGAGGACTCCGCAACCAACCCCAAACAGCAACGCCCCAACCACGCTCATGATGTCCTTGGTGCGATCCCTAATCGAGCTCGATACTGAGGAGTGTAATTTAACGGGCCCCTTGTATGGAAGCATATCGTGTTCAAGATCGCCAGGACGATCATTGTAATTGACGGATGGATGATGGTTGGGGAATCGAGAGGTGGTAGTGGTGGTGGTGAAGATGAGAGTGAGATAACGAGGCGAAGACAAGGAAGAGGGCTTTTGGAAGAGGAAATTGGCCTCCTTAGGGTTAGGGTTAGGGTTCTGGGAGCGGGAGTAAGGGTGATAGGTGGTGGTTGTTGCGACATAGAAGAGAGTTTTGCAGGGCCGAGCAGAGGCCGTGACGGCGAGGAGAGAGAAAAGTAATAGAAGAGAGTTTTGCAGGGCCGAGCGGAGGCGGTGACGGCGAGGAGAGAGAAAAGGAGGAGAGGGAGAATCCAGGTCGCCATTTTTTCTCGTTACAGAGAGAGAGAGAGAGAGAGAGAGAGAGCAGCTTGAGGACGACGAAAATCACGGAGTCGTGATTTGTTTATATAATGAGGCTACTTATTCTATGTAACACAGGTGTACTGTAAGACTTCTTGTATCAATTTTTCCGAATGATTTAGCACGTGTTTGACAAAATAGTTCTTTTTTCTTAAATTTATTTTCAACTATAAACATTTTCACAATAAAATATTTGACATAGAAAATCTTTTTTAAAAAAAAAATCCTATTTTTTAATCACATATTCTTTAAAAAATCATTATTTCAAAACTCATTTTCTTCAAATTAAAAAAAAAAAAAAAAAA